GTATTGTATACTTCAGTTAAAACAGAATGCTAAATCAATATAAATAGTAAAATGAAAATAATAAATACATTTTGTTAGACAAGGATCTGACGAGGAAACGTTTCCAACTGTCAAATTGCTTTTCGCTTGGGACTATTACTATTCGATTGGTCTTGGTGTACAGTGAAAAACTCTATTTTGGTTTGGTTTTCCGGTCTTCTTTTGTAGAGTTATGGGCGTTTTAGTCGATTTCAGGTCTATGCATACAGGATCTCAGAATAACTGAATGATCGAATTTTGAGCTGAACTTTTTGCCCATATATGTATTATATATAGAGCCCGGCACGACCACTGTGACCGTGACCAATATTTTTTAAAAGTCCGTGACTGGAAGTTGGTCACGGGTAGTAGGTGCTTTATCAATAAATTAGAATTTTATAAGTGAGTTTGAACATAAAATTATGATAAACAAAAATCATATTTTTTAAATCATTTGATATAATTCTTTGTTTGAGTTCAAACTGCGTCATTATAAGCGTTTTTTGTATGCATATTAATATCGATACCCAGTCGTGAAAAGCATACTACGCAAATACAAAAATCATTTGCGACAGGTATCGTGGACTGTTACGTATATGACCGTTCGACTGCTCCTCTTTCAAATAAAGCGTTTTCATATTTTATCATGAATTACAACGATATTGTAAACAACAATACGAATTTTAATAATTATTTTATTTAAGCGCTATATCCATTCGAAAAAAACTCTGTCGCATTATTTGAAAAATATGATTTTTGTTTATCGTAATTTTATTTTCACACTCACTTATAAAATTCTAATCTACTGATAAGGCACCTGTTTGTTGATACAACATTGAACAATAATCCAATCATACTAAATAATTTAACGATGATAATCTTGTTATAACTAATTAAATGACGTTACGGTAAGACATTTTCACGACGGCTTCTTTCACCATTGAGCAAACGTAGGGATAGAGATATATAAAAATTCAGTCTGTGTCATTTTTTGTGGTTGAAGTATTTAACACTCTGATCAAGGGTTTCAGTGAAATTCATTCTTATCTTCCATTGAATTATGAACCATCGTAAAATAGAAAAGGGAGGAGATTTTTTGAGCAACTTTTGGTACGTGCAGAATAGAAAAGTGAAATATTGACTATTGAAATATGGTGATGGAGACGCATCAAATCATGTGATCGTGATTTATTTTGGTACGATGTTTAAGGTCTCTGATCAACCTTTTCAGAAATAAGCTTATTATGTTCCTTTAGCACAGTGAGTTTTCAATGGTCGAATGTTTATCAGAACCGATAATCAAGAACTAGAAAATAACACAAAGCTTATATTTGGAATGTTAATCTTTTGAGAGTTATTCATTTCCTAGCGATCTGTACTTCTCTATCTTCTCTCTATGAAAAGTTATACAAAGAATACCTACTCATCAACTATTGTAAACAGTAGTAGTTTCAAGATTTCGTATCTGAAGTTAGATGATAATCAATGGAATTGTTCATCTATCACACAAGTTTTATCTCTCGTTTGACACGTCGCGACGTCAATGGTAGAACAAATAATTGTAGGCTAGGTGGTAAACAAACCACAAAAAATTCATAATGAAAGACACAAGTTAAAATATTTTTGTTAGTTTATCTAAAAAGTCTGTAGAATAAATAGTTCAGTTCGACTAAGTCCACTCCATTAGCGAACGCCAAATTATCAGACGTAGATAATTGTTATTATCTACGTCTGATAAACTTTTCCCAATATCGTGATGATCTGGTGGTAGAAATTTTTCACGTATTAAAAGACATTTCAGTTCGTATGTTAGAGAAAGTACATATTGATGTCGAATTCGTTGTACATGATCTAATTTTGAAAGAGTATCAGCAATCGATAAATATCCTGAAAGAGACTAGCTTCTCTGATTCTTAAATATTTTTCAAGATATTCAATAGTACGATCATAAGATCGTTCTAGATGCAAAATATATGCAATCCATTCTAGATCTACTGCTCGTTAATAATAATCGAGAGCTTCATCAAATTTTTCTTGATTTTTTAAGATGTTGTTAATGTTGCTCAAGGCTGAAACCATTTCGATATGATCAGATAAGTTATAGTCTTTTTGCATTTTTAACACTCAATGATACAAATGAAGGGCTTCATCGTTTTTTCCTTGTGCACTTAAAGTATAACTAATGTAGATGATTGTGAGAGTAATATGAGCATAATACGATAGATAATATCATAGTTTTTTTTCCGTATAGTTGTACGTAACCAATATTGTTCAACGTATAGAATACAGATATGATTAAAATGGTCTTTGAGTCGCATTTTGTATTTGATGTTTACATAGGTTTAATGAAGAAAGTGTTTGTAGAAGGTAAATGTTTATTTAACAGCATCCCTATGCTGTACAAATTAGCCAAAGACGAATGATCATTCGCGAGTTCCATTGTTTCTGAAAGATAGTTATGAGCATCTTTATACTTTCCTTTACTATGAAGTAGTAATCCGCTATCGTTGTTCACTATTGCTTTATTTATCGTTGTTCATCATTGCTTTCAATATTGAATGGTTTTATAAAATATTATAAAACACATTCTGAATCAACTTTTGCTTTTGATGTATAACATACGACCTTTTATACGTCGCTGCGAACGGGAATTCATAACTTTTTCTACAGTACAAGGCACTGAAGAGTTCAAAAGTAATTTTGAAAAATTAAAAATTGAGTTGATTTAAAAGTCGGGTTGAACGCAGATAGAGTGTAGCGTTTTTATTAAGTCAATCATCAAAAAGCTGTACTCTGCCTGCGTTCAACTCGATTTATAAATCTCAACTAGAGTTAAATTTTTGGCTCGAACTATTTATAACTATTTTAAATTTTTTACTAAAAGTTAAAATAGTTATAAATGGTTGGAGTTATAAATATTTACAAATGATATACTTTTAAATTCTTCAGTGGCATATGGGGATCTTGTTTGGAGAAATAATCAATAATTCAGTGGATCCGGTTCGGAGAAATAACCGTGGGTCACTGCGGTTGGATGACAACGACTCATTCATCAATTTGTATTACCAAAACCATCTTGATAGGCGATTCTAGCGAAAAATAGTCGGCAAGGACCGCAAATTATGTTCAAAACTATCCGCCTTGTCCTGCGGTTTTTCTCAAAAAGGGAGCGATACAATTCCTCCCTTTTTATAATAACCGCCTTGATGAGAGATTTTTTGCTGTCTAAAATCGACGAGAACCCCAGTTTTCGAAAAAATACAACCGGCGAGAGCATTTTAAAAGTAAGTGGATGAATCGCTCCCTTTCTCAAATAATTGCCAATCTAAGCGGACATCGTTTTTTCCAAGCTCTGTGAACCGCAATTTTATACAAAAAGTAACGCCTTCATCTGCGGATAAATCGAAAAGGAACGATTCTAGCCAATTTAGCACACATGTAGATCTCTGCGGTTTTCACCAAAATATAACCGCTGTGAACCGCTGCTATACTCCAACGATGCAAAAAAAGTATCAAAAATACACCCGTGGTTTTTATACGAGAGACCGGTTATTGTGCTGCAAACCGTCGGTTTTGACCAATTTTTCTGCTTGAAAATGAACCAGTGTGACCCGTATCTTCGACCGGTTTTTTCTATTGATTTTCATGTACAGGATAGTTCTATTCTGTGATACTGTCAGGCCTCTTTCTATTTAGTGAGGTGGTTGCAGTGATTCTTCATGTTCTACTGCCTTTGAATTGATGATAGTGAACAATTCAAGAACAATCTTTACAGTGCGCAAATATGAAGGTAAGAGAAAGAAATTAAGACTCCTGTCCTGAATTTTACTGCCAACTACATTTTTCGCATGTCGAGAATTTAATCTGTCCAACTTCTTAATGTAGTTCCAAGCACTCCTGCCTTGTATATTATTATCGAATGTCAATTACAAGAAAAAAAGTCGGAATTTAAAGCAGAATATTAATGAAAAAGACGCATCGAAAGTCGTAAATCCTATTCGCTAAAAGTAGCCAATTAAGAACATCGAGATGTATCATCGTGCGCTGAAAAATGTTAACGGTATGTATATGACTCAGTCGTTTCAACAGTATGAAACTCTACATCAACAACCAATAGAAAAAAGTTCGAAGTGAATGAGTGTGACGCAGGGTTGTCAGATATCCCCCATTGATGAGACAGTTCGACCATTTTGGCACTGGCAATTTTTTCGAAGCCATACTACTTCGGCGCCATATTTAGGGGGAAAAGTATTAGCACTCTCTAGCAGTAGCACTCTCTTTCGAGCGCGCGTCTCATGATTCATCAGATGTGTGGGATATAAGTTGTCGATCAAACCTGATTAAAAGATAAATATTAATATAAAAATATGAATTGTACCGATTTTCGCACACATTTTTTTATCAAATGCTGATCTTTAAAAAAGTTCATTCTAGTAGAAAATATTCACATTTCAAAAAAACATATCCGTGTCAATAATTAGCTTAATTATGACGCACAGTTCTTTGTAACTTATGTTTTGTTGTTAAAATGACATGAAGAGTCGAGACCGTTCTCGCAAGTAGAATGTGGAATAAACCATCAGTTTTTTGTAAATATGTGGCTTTAGTTGAGTCGAGCGGGTATTTTAGAATGGCATTATTTCGTTAAAATAAGCGTCCACCATTTTTGTCCCTCATTTGGAACTTTCTGTCTCCCATTCAAAAAATAATATTGTGCCCCCTGGTGAGACGCTTGAAATAACTTCTTATTACACTTGATATGACTGAATTTTTAGTGACAGTTTTTTTGTATAAAATGCAAATGATTCATTATAAACGTTGTGATTTGTAGTTCAAAATAAAAGTATATTATTTTAATAGAACAGAAAGGAAATACAAAGGAACAAAAAATTTGACAGGACTGCGACATACAAACAGAATCGATAAATAATCAGTTATAAGGATATAAATATAGTCAGCCGAGTTAAAACGTATCTACAACGATGAATGACAACGACTTTGATCAAGTACCATCGGTTATATTCAACAATGTTGAAAGTATCCCTAGAATTGGTATTCCAGGAATCATTATACCACAAACAGATGACACACGGGCAATACTATGTGGCGAGGATTCTCAAAATTGTTTAATGATTGCAACAAGATTTGGTCAAGGACGAGTGATTATTTGCGCTCATAATGGATATGTTGAGAAATTCCTACCACCTATTGAAGAAGATTATAGAATATTTGTTGAAAATTGTAAAAGATGGTTAGTACCAAATGGCAAGATAAGGAATGATCAAGTCGTATCAATTGATAACGTCAGTTCACTGCAAGACGTCTTGAAAAAAGCGAAGATTCTACTATGGGATGGTCACTGTGATAAAAGTGAACCATTTATGAACGATTTATGTGAATATCTTCAAAATGGTGGTGGATTGGTATGTGCGGCAACTGCATGGGGCTGGTTACAAACACATCCGGGAAAGCAAATATCGGACTTTCCATTCTCAAGATTTTGCGATTATTTGGGAGTACGTTTGACGGACGGATATAATAATTGTACCGATTCAATACCACCTCGTCTTGAATTAGTCAAATTTAAGAATATTAATCACGTTGTAAAACAACTACAGTATGAACCGAATAAAAGTGAATACATGGCGATTGTTGGACATGCGATTCAAGAATTACATGATACGTATCCCGGATTTCCACTAGAGACGTTAGAAAATATTGTTCTAAATGCCGAGAAAGACGTTATTCCTGGGGCTAGTTGTCCGATAACAGACAAAAAATGTCGAGAATTATCATCTGGTATATGTGGAATTATGTGTGCACTACCCGGTATTAAAGCACCTAACATTATGGTAAGTAGATAGTTAATCATAAAGTTATCAATATTCTTTACTATGTTTAAGTTTAGATGTTTCCTGGTGATTTCAAACAAACACCAAATATACACACAAATGTTTCATGGCAGATCAGTTCGCATACAAGTGAATGGCATTGCACAGGTACAGCTATATGTTAAAATGACTGCAGATGAGAACGATATGAATGTCTCATAGAATTTTCCTTTTCTAATCCAAACAACTATTTTATGTTAAGTATGAATTTCTTACTTTTAAGGTTTTTATGTTGTTGCCGGCGTACCCATTCAAATCGAAGTGCAAGACGGTAATCCTGATGGTTGGCAAGTGAGAATCGGATGTCATAACGATGATTTAAGAAATTGTGAAGAATTAAGAAGATGGCCATGTATATCGATTTGTAAACCGTTGACAAATAATGTTCATATGTGCTCAGCCTACGGTGGTCTGTTGTTTCTTCAAAGTTCAGAAGGAGATAATAATATTAGTGTTCGCATTCATCATGTTGTTCAAACACCTGTCTATGATTTGAAAGATCCTAATAGAAAACAAGCGTGGAAACATCATCGAAAAACAGATGGATTATGGGCGGATATTGCCGGTCGTCATATCGTTTTCAATGTTCCTTCATCCAGCGTCGTTCACATTGATGACTTAGATTCAGTACTTGAATTTTGGGATCGAATTGTTCTAGTACATCATGAGCTCCGAGGTACCCACCCAACACATCGCGAACGAGTAGTCTGTGATGAACAACCATGTGCAGGATACATGCACTCGGGGTAAGTGTACCGTTCTAATTTTTTTCAATTTATAAGGGGCAAAATTGTTTTGTTTAACAGTTATCCAGTTGTAACACATCTAGGTAAATATTGTTGTATTTTTATGTTCATGTTATCATAATTTTATACCGGTCATTTAGATGTCTGTCTTCCAGAATCTAAAGATTTCATTTTAAATCTAAAGTGTTTACAAAAAAATGGCAGTTGGGGTCTGTTTCATGAACTTGGTCATAATATGCAACGAGATTGGTGGAGTAAGTATTACCCCTTTACAATCTAATAAGTTCTGTGTGATGTGAGTGGTCTATTTTATATTTTAATTTTCAGCATTTGACGGTACAGGTGAGGTAACTGTTAATATCTTCACTCTTCATGCCATGGATACAGTTTGTAACTTGAAACCATGGATTCATACGTGGTTGAAAGATCAGCTAGACAGTACTAAAAAATATATAAAAAACGGTTCAAATTTTGATCAATGGAAAGAGAATCCTGGAGTGGCTCTATTCATTTATGCACAATTAAGTCACGAGTTCGGTTGGGATGCGTATAAAGAAGTTTTTCGAATATATGAAAAAACGACACCAACGTTAGATGATAATCAAGAAAAAATAGATCATTGGATTTTGACATTTAGTCAAACAGTTGGATATAATTTGGTTCCCTTATTCAAATTTTGGGGCTTTCCAATTTCAAGTTCAGTGAAAAATTCACTAAGTAATTTACCAATTAGAGAAATCAATGATGAACTAATTAAAATTGCTCCGAATCGTTATCAGTTATAAGAAGTTTTTATCTGGTGTGATAAACGACATTCTCATCTTAGTGAATGATTATTTAAAAAGAACATTTGGCTGAATTAATATGAAATAAGCATAAACACATCTTCTTTTCACTGTAAATTATTTATTCTCATTTTAAACTGCAGATAGTATATACATTTCTTTTTTGGGTAAGGCTAGAAGGCGGAACATTAAATACAATATGATAACCAATTTCAGTTTAATCGCTGTGAATTTCTGTTTCTTTCTACAATTCTTTTCTATCTAGAGTTGTTAAATCATATACAGGTGCATGAACAACGTGATTAAACGTGATCGAGTTATTTTCTTCTAGACTTTGTAAAAATATTCAACCCTCATACGTTAAACACATTTTCGATTATAGATACCGATTTAAGCATTATTTATTGGAGACGTTACGTGAAACACTTTTCACATCATCAGACTGATGATGTGAAAAGGGTGAGGGTGTTTCACGTTGTCTATAACTCTACTATTCTTTATAAAATGTATTTACCGTATTATCAAAAAATGAAACGATTCAGTTGACATTTCCGATTGTGGTGATACAGGTTTACAGATTGATAAACAACGCTATCGTCGCAGTTGTGTGAAATTTTTCAAAGTATTATTGTGACATCTAATTCGAACAGTCCAAACAATAACATTTTCATCGACAACTTGATATTCAATGCGTACTCACAGCGTACATTCAGGCAGGCATTTTTTTGAGGGTCAAAACTCGAAAATCTAATTTTTCCGGATTCAAAGAGGGAAAAATACACTTTGGCTCTATTTAGGGAGCATTTCAAAATTATTTACTGTCTTACTTTCTACTTTGTTCCTTTCCTCTTTCGCTTCTTTACTATTTTGCTCTTTAACAAAAGACTGTTTAAAAAGCAGTAA